CCGGGGTCTACAGGTCGAACTGCGCATACACCTCCAGTCGTCTGGGGGTGTTTATGCTACAATACTTGGGAAAGCGCCTGAGATAACAGTGCATTGACATGAACATCCCCATGAGATCCGTTACATTTCACTGCCACGCAGCACAAAAGCTCGTCAGGATCGCATTATTAAACTGCAAAAATAGACTAAAGATAGAGTCGCATGCCAGACGTCTCTTTCTTTGCCAACCATACCCTTTCCCAATACAACTCCAAAAAACACTCAAATTCGGCAAATGGGACCAAAGCTCCGACAAATCGACTTCCAACAGAAACAAAAGGCGCTTCGCTTGCTCGGGGCTCGATCAGACGCGGCTTTTGGCGATGCTGAGCTTGACATCGAGACTCAACAAAATGGAACGCAACAACTGTTGCGGGATATATGGGCGTTTCAAAAGCAGCTGTTATGGCATGGAAAAAACAAGCTGCTAAAATCATGAGTGTAGATACTACGATGCAGAAGGCACGAAAGAAGTCACGTTTTAATGTAGGACACTTTCCGGACCTTGAGAAGGCTCTTTTACAGTATATGTTGGAACGCGTCGTTTACATGAGAGGGGAATCTTTATTCCGAGCTGACATCGTGTCGCAATCAGCTCTCAAGATTCGCGACAAATGGTCATGTCACTGACTGAAAAAGCGAGCGAAGAGGAACAGACTGACACACAGGTACAAAAGGTAGTAAAACATATATCGGAGCTAAAAGCGTCCAAGGCAAGTGGCGGGTGGATCTCCAAATTTATGATACGGGATAACCTGAACAGCTCCAGAGGAATGGCTCAGAACGGTTCGTTTGACATCGCGACACTTGCCCAGGCAAGAAGTTTAATGAGACAACAGCTTGCAGTTTATGATATACGTGACATATTTAACACAGATGAGGTCGCCATATTATACAGATCTTTTCCAAGCCGTGCTATAAGACAGGCGAATTAGCCAGCAACATACACTCGTGTCAAAGACCGCTTGACGGCGGTTCTTACAGTTTTGCGGATGGACAAAAAGCACTGCTTACAATTATAGGCAAGTCCAAGCATCCAAAAAGCTTTCCCAGGCATTTCGACTCCATGAAAGATTTAGGCATTTTTACATGTCGCAATCGAATGCATGGAACACCAAAAATCTTTGGTAGAGATCTGCTAAAAGTTTTGATAAGATGGCTGCACTGCAAGGTCGACACTTGGCAGGGGTGATTGACAACTGTTCTGCTCACAGTAGTGACTATAGAATAATCCGAAACATTGATGCAGTTTTCCTACCACCGAATATGACATCATGTTTACAGTCTGTTGATGCATCTGTTGGTCGATCGTTTAGATGTGCGTTCGGACGTCTTCTAGTTTCACACATACTCGATTACGTAAACGGTATGATGGAACAGCCGGCAAACATGAGACCTGTTTTTAAACTAAGAAAAGCAATCACGACATTTGATGCAGTCGTGTTAATGGCGAAGGCATGGAACATGGTGCCAAAGAGTGTGGTCCTGCATGCATGGCTTTCCACCAATATACTGGCCCTCTTTCAAAACGAAGAGGTACAAAGTATTAAAGCAGGTGTCGATGGTGACTCGGTTATACCTGCATTCCGACTACAAGTTGGAAGCAGTCTATTAACCAAAATAGCAGCCCGCATACAGGCCACTTTAGCACGTGAAAAGGGAGAAAAGTGGCTATCCACCTCCGAATCGCAAAATACGAGTACAGTAGCAGCGTTGGAGGAGACTGTTAGGAATACAGTTTCTGAATGGGATCAAGAGAATATTGAGGTTACAGTTGAAGAGGCTCAAATGCTGCATAGGCTTCCGGAAATCAGCTCATTTAAAGATGATGATCTCAATGCTTTGTTACTGGAGGAGTCTTTTGTCGACACATACCAGCCATTGTCTGCCGAAAACGCAATGGATGTTGCAGTCAGTGATTCGCTGCAGCGTTTTGTACCTGAAGGCGAAGATGACATACGTGCTGGAGTGGATGCAGCCGAAACGGTGGATTCTGAGTCAGAAAATGAAGAATCACGAATACAGGATCGGCCATTACTATCTCGCTATTTGCATGCAGCTCAATGTTTGGAGCGAGAGATGAATTTAATGATACGGGCTGATCATGACGCGGCGTCAAACAGCCAACACAACTCGGCCAATCTATTGGCGATTGAGACTAATCGCATAAGGGCGTTTAAGGTTAAGAACTCGCGACAATCACGCATAAGTGACTTTTTTACGGAATATTAAACGAATGAAGGACAGTGGCTTTGCTGGGTATATTGTTAACTTGGCTTCGGTTTGAAACCTCTCCTCTCCTAACTTCGTCACGTCGACCGCTCTTGGGCTCGAGAATGTTGACTCGAGACTGATAGCGGAATGTAGTTGTCTTGAGCTGACTGTTGCTGATTATTACTGAAAATCAATTTCCAGGACAGTGACCCTGACTGAAGTTGGGGTCACAATAGCAGAAAGGATCACTGTAGTGGGGGGGGGGGGTCACTGTAAAAATTGAAATGTTGGAAACTGGGTTGGAATCGTGTAGGTGGCGAAGAAAATAAGTGCCAAAGGTCACTGTACCGCAAAAGTCACTATACCAGGGGGTCACTCTGTCGTGATTTTACTCTGTACTACTGTGCTTGTCGCGCGATCGAGATCAGGGATATGCAATCTGGACGTGGGCACTACCGTCCCGTCCCGGCGTTGCGCGGGGGCTAGCAAAATATTACAAACTTTTTTGATTTCTACATACAGTAACGGTACTGTATCTCCTAGATACTGTCATTAGTAGTGTAATGTAATGACTCATTACACTGTCAAGGCCACTCGCTACTCCCCGGATGATTCTTCACCCGCATACAGTGTATGCGGGTGACCAGTACAATATGTGTATGCCACACACATATTGTACTGGTCATTGTACTGTGTACGCAAACAGCGCGTGCTGGCGCGCAGCGAGCGGGGGCGTCACGTGAGTCATGGTGTCCACGTGTCGCCTTGCCAGCGCCGCATGGGAAACACGTGCGGCTGCGCGCGCTCACTTCCGCTCCCCCACCGGCGCATCCACACGCCTCCACGCCTCCACGCAACGCCCCAGGGCCGCGCCCGCCCTCGCATGCCATGATGCGCTCCCCTTTCGCTTTGGGTTTCGCTTTCGCCCGCCCTCGCATGCCATGATGCGCGCCCCTTTTCTCCGCCCCCCCACCACCGTCCCGCCTTCCACGACAATGCAACAGATTGGGCGAGGCGAGTCGCCGATGCCCATCGCCCAATCTCTTGCACTGTCGTGGAAGCCGATGCGAGAGAGTGTCCGATGCGAGAGAGTGCCCGATGCGAGGGCCCGATGCGGATCGCCCAATCTGTCCGCCCCAGCCCCCCCCCCCCCCACGGCTGAGCACTCGTTGTCGCCTTCTCACGCATCCCCGATACCCTTGGTACTGTAACCTGTATATAAGAAACTATAAATACCGTATATAACTCCGCCACGCCACCGCACCGCGCCTCACCGTCGTGCGATCCGCCCACCGCCGCGCCCCCCGCCCGCCGGCCCGCCCCTCCCCTAC